AGGTTGAAGCAGGAGTTACAACTGTAGAAGAATATGTAACAGAAACTGAGAAATATACTGAAGTTGGAAGAGGTTTCATTCGCTGCTGAAAAAAGTGAAAATGATCCCATAATAGATGATGGCAAATGATAAATTTTTGGGCGATTTGGAGTGAGAACAGGTCAATTTTAATAATTATCTTTACGTTTTTTTCAGGTGATTTGGGTCAATTTTTTATTATTATCTTTACATTTTTTTGGGTGATTTAGGGTGGAAACAAGTTGATTTTATTATTATTTTATTATTTTCTTTACGTTTTTTTGAGTGATTTGGGGTGGGAACAGGTTGATTTTAATAATTATCTTTACGTTTTTTTCAGGTGATTTGGGTCGATTTTTTATTATTATTTTTACATTTTTTCAGGTGATTTGGGGTGGAAACAGGTTGATTTTATTATTATTTTATTATTTTCTTTATGATTTGGGTGGAAATGGGTCAATTTTATTATTATTTTATTATTTTCTTTATGTTTTTTTCGGGTGATTTGGGATGGAAATAGGTCAATTTTAATAATTATCTTTACATTTTTTTCGGGTGATTTGGGTCGATTTTTTATTATTATTTTTACATTTTTTTGGATGATTTGGGGTGGGAATAGGTCAATTTTATTATTATTTTATTATTTTCTTTACGTTTTTTTTCGTTCAATTTGGGTAAGAATAGGTCAATTTTTTATTATTTTCTTTACGTTTTTTTCGGGTGATTTGGGATGGGAACAGGTTGATTTTAATAATTATCTTTACATTTTTTCAGGTAATTTGGGTGGGAACGGGTCAATTTTAATAATTATCTTTACATTTTTTCAGGTGATTTGGGTGGGAACAGGTCAATTTTTTATTATTATCTTTACATTTTTTGGGTGATTTGGGTGAGAACATGTCAATTTTTTATTATCTTACATTTTTTTAGGTGATTTGGAGTGGAAACGGATTGATTTTAATAATTATCTACATTTTTTTGGGTTGATTTTTCTATTTTTTACATTTTATATTTATTATTTTTACATTTTTTGGGCAATTTCGAAAGGAATGGATCATATTTTTATCACATATTATTTATTTATCTATCTATATTTAGGATGATTTAAGGGGATTTTTGGAGGAAATGAATCATATTTTATTATTTTATTATTCTATTTTTAGTAGGAAATTAATCAGTAGATTTTAGTGATATTTTGTTATATTTTTGCAAATTTATATTAGGTTTTTATTATTAATAAATTTTAATATTTAATAAATTTAATAAATAAAATGCACTGATTATTGATGCTGAATTGCTTGTCTGATTAGAGTTAATTGGCATCAATCAATGTCTGAATTGTTGCTGAATTGATACTGAATTGAGGCTAATTTTAGGCTGATTTATGATTATTTAAGTTCTGAATTGATGCTGAATGACTATGTCTGATTGGAGTCTATTGGAGTTTATTGGCGTCTATTAGCGTCTGAATTATTGCCAAATTGAGGCCAGTTTTAAGCTGATTTATAGTTGAATTTAAGTTCTGAATAACCATGTCCGATTGGGATCAATCGGTGTCTATTGACACCTATTTATGCTGATCAGAAAACATGGCAAATCGGCCGTAAATAGTATCAAAATTGGTCTAAAATTGGTTATCTAATTTTTAGCTGATTTGGACTATTTCAACTAGTGTAACACATAAAAAACTTCCTGTAGATTTTTTATCAACATTCTTAAAATTGCTTTTTTAGACTTCAGTGAATGAGATAATCTTTGCAAAATATATATTTCAAATACAAATAAGACTACATTTTTATTCCTTGTAATATAAAAATTGCATCTTTTTATTTTAGAACAGTTGATTACAGTAACTAAAATCCTATTAGACACTACTATTAAATGAATAAAAATTTTTTTGATATGATACTATTGTCAAATGTACTATGGAAATCCAAAACTTATAGTAATGTGTCACTATTACATTTAACAAAAAAGCTAAATTTAAAGAACTTAAAAGTATAGATAGTTTACTATTAACTAAAGATTCTATTCAAAATCTACTATAGATGCCTACCGAAACCTCCTCAAAATAATTTCGTTATATTCTTTTTTATGTTTTTAATATAGTTTCAACAGTTTTGACTTTCGTTATATCGAAAGGGTTTCGTCATATCCCTTATTATGATTTTAATATAGTTTTGTCTAAGTTTTGACTATTATTAAAGGGTTTCGTTCCTCATCATTAAAATCTACATATGTAACCTGAATAGAAAAAAAATCTAAAATTGATCTAAATTTTCTATCAAACTTACAAATCTATCAAGAGGAATCATGACACATGACCTTCTAGATATCAATTGAATAGCTGATATTATAGATTAGATTATTCTATAGATAAGATCAAATTATAATTACCTTCAGCATACATATTTTTATTTTCATAATGCTCATAAAGCTGAAACAGTTTTTAATACTAACAACTTAACTCTTAATAACAAAATTTAAAATTAAAAAATTTTAATAAATATTATTAATTAACTTTAAGAATTATAAAGATTGGATATTTATAACGTTATTATAAGTTATAAAGTGAATCATTTTTAACATATGTTTAATATGTATACATGTAAAATCTTATATATATTCTTTTATTTATTTTTTTTTTTAAAGATTAATAAAGTTAGAACTTAAAAAGAATATTAGAAATAATTTAGTAAATATAAATCTATAAGTATAATTTTAAAATATATATCATCATTAATCTCTTTATAATATTTAAAGATATTTACTAAACTAAATTAATTAATTTCTTGAAATATCAAAAGATTAAAGTTTATGAATGTTTAATAAAAATAAAGAAATACTTAGTATAAATAAGATTTAAAATAGAAATATATTATAAATATAAAGGTAAAGTAAAGATCTAAAAGTCGCTAAGTTTAACATAAAGTTATATATTAAAGAAATTTAGTAATCTTTATGAAGATATATTTAACACTTTTTTGAATATTATATACTTTACAGATAAAGTTGTAACTTGTCAATAAATATATGTTCAATGTTTAAAAAAGATTTAAAAACTATTAGAAACTGTTGATTTTAAAGGAAGAATTTGCAAACAATCAAAAAAACTTGACTTATATTATTTATGCAAATATTTGTATTTCTCTCTAAAATGCTTTAGGTCCAATAGCAAATATTATATTAAATTACATTTTTAAATTAATCTTATTAGTCTATTTCTTTGTTATATTGTATTATTCTTACTTTTTATAAGATTAATAGCTTCTAAAAAATGCAAAAAATTCAGAATAAAGTCTAATTAGATCAGCTAAATTATGACTTAGATAAGATATATCTTAAGATATGATATATTTATACATGTATTATTTAAAATCTTTTGTATTTATACCATATTATAGTGATAATAAATGACTCAAATAACTTCAAATAACTCAAATAACTAGTCATGTGTCATTTAGATCATTTTAATATTAAATGATAAATAATTTGATCATTTAAAAATTATATTATGTGATCTTAAAAATTATGATTAAAATAATTAATATAATTTAATGTTTCGAATATTTTCATAAATATTCTATATGATATAATTTGTAATTCTAGCCAACATATAAAATTTGGTTTGTATTATATTTAAATAATTAAATGACTTTAAATGATCAGGTCATTCAAAGATTATTTAGAAGTTATTTCAAAATAGTCAAATGATCTGATCATTTACTAGTACTGCCATACTGTACTTAATTTTTTCTTTTTTTAGGATGAATTAATATCATTTAAAGCAAATTTCTTTCAAAAACTAATAACTTATATAAGGTATATCTTAAGATCTGATATATTTATTTATATATTCTTCTGAATCTTCTTGTCTAATATTTTATAATTGTTTCTTTAGATAAAGATTTGTAAGATATTTAAAAAGAAATTTTAGTTAGATATATATTAAAAGCATCATTAATGCTTTTAGATTTTATAGGAATAATAATAATAATAATAATATATTAATAGAAAGAATAATATATCTTATTCCTAAAAGTCATTTCATTTAGTAATTTTCTTTTCTTAAATTGTTAAATCAATATGATAAATTAATTCTAAATGAAATAATACAATATTTTTGGTTGATTTTTTTTATAAGTAATGATAAATTGTATTACAAGCAGTTTTTTTTAATGTGATTTTTTTTGATATTAAGAAATTAACTTATAATAGATTAAATAAAATAAAAAGCTATACTTAACATTTCAAAGTGTAATAAAAATATAAATTAATTAAAGATATCACATCAAAATGCAATAATTTTTTTATTTTTATTGAATAAATTTACAAAGTTTTAATTATTAAATAGCATTTAGAAAATTTATTATTATAATAAATTAAAGTTCTAAAAAATGATTTGTATAAACTTGTATATTAATTCATATAATTTGTAAATTTATGTTTAAGTATAATCTAACTTAAGGTTTTTCTATTTCTCTTTCTCTCTTTGATTTATAACTTGACTTTATTAAAAGCTCTAAATAAATCATAATAAAATTTAAATATTATATTATAAATAATAAAATTATTCTTATAGAAATTTTGAGTTGATATAAAAAAAGTATTCAATATGTTAAGTTTAAAACAAATCAATGTATTGAAAAAAATTATTACTTTAAAATCTACTAATTCTCTCTTATAACCTAAAATATAATAAGTATTCTTAAAAAGTTTTAAGAATAGTATAATTAAAAAAAAAATTTACCAAACTAGATAAATGTTAAAACAATATTTAATGCTTCTCAAGTTGTTTATAATATTGTTATATGATTAAATCTTTTATAAATTACTATATTCCAAATCAAATGCATGTTTATTATCTGATTGCAAAAAGAATGTGAATATCATAAAACAAATCCTAATTAAGTTATATTATATTATTATTTTTGCTAATAAATTATAAGTTTTCGCAATAGAAGCATAGCTGTCTGAAGATATTATAAATCATAAAGATTTCTTATATTTAAACCGAATGAGACACGAGAGGACCGTGTTTTTAACGATTTATCCGATAACTTTTCAAAGCAAGCTTTTATCGAAAGCTATTAACAAAAACAATCAATTAGGAACAGAGATTATATAATAATATTAATATTGTGCAGAACTCAAATTTAAATACTCACAGCCCATTTTAAAATTGACTCGTAAAAAAAAATAAATTCTTCCATTTCCGAGAAATCTCTTGGAATTGTGGCGTTGTCGATTTCTTTGATATAATAATAACCTATCCATAATACAATATAAGTCTATACAATAATTTGCTATAATGAAAATCAAAAAGATACCTACCGGTAAAACCAAGAGCATACAAATGTATGTTAAGTTTTATACTAGCAACACCAAAAACTTCCATATCCGGTATTATCAATTTCCTCTTCTCCACCCGATCTTTAACAATGTTTAATAACATATTTTTGAGGTTCTTGATTATTTTATTTCTATCATCAAGTTCTTTGCTTGCTTTAACTTTATAAGGGCGTGAACCTTCAACGTAAACAAGCTGATATTTGTTAGAGTCGATCGTAAACCCAACGCCATCTCCCTTTTGTCGGTTGATATGATTTATAGATGGAATTTCGCCGCTATTTACGTTTAGCAAAATTAATGAAATTATATTTTGACCCACTAACATAATATTTAAAAGAAAAATAACTTACGAAGTATAATATATGTCAGCACAACTCCATAAAGCTGACTTTATACACGGGTGTATATAGTCATTAAGATGAGGTTGTTCAAGAGCTTCGATATTATGGAGTGGATTCATATGTCCCAAGGCGAAAGCTTGCAAGCTAAAGATCAAAAATAAGATAAGCAAAAGAAAAAATAAAATGCGAGATAAATTTGAACATACACAATACATACAAATTATCAAGTGATCTAGTAATTATCTTTATTATCATTTTAGTGGTCTCTTCCTTGTATTCTTTGATATTCAAATTATCTACGGCATTTGACCACTGCTTATAAGTTAATTTCTTATTATTAAAAAAAAACACGCATAAGCATATTAGGAGATGATTGCAATTAAAACCGCTTGTAATACTATTTATCCTTACTTGTGAAAAAAAATCAACCAGAAATTTGTGCGTTTCATCCGGGATTAATTGATCATATTGATTTAATGATTCAAGAAAACTTTTATAAACATTTCAGGAAGTTGCCGAACGAAATGACTTTTGTGTGTAAGGTCCATTATTCCTTCTGTTGATACATCATCATCATTACTGTTATCCTTATAAAGTTCAAAAGCATCAATGATGCTTTTAACGTTACGTTCAACCAGAATTTCTTTTTTGAGAATTCCATGGATCTTTATCTAAAGAAACAATTGTAAAAATATTAGACGGGAAAATACATGTATAAATATATCCGATCTTAAGTTATACCTTATCTAAGTCATCAATTTGCTGTTCTATTTCAATCTCGCTTTGAACTTCTTGCGTTCTCCGGAAGTCATTCGCTTCAGATGATATTAATTCATCCTAAAAAGAAAAAAAGAGTAAGTACAATACGGTACGGACAAACGGAAGATTCAAAAGAATACATGTATAAATATATCAGATCTTAAGATGTACCATATCTGATTCATCGGTCTACTGTTCTAATTCGACCTCGTTCTGAATTTCTTGCAATCTCCAAAATTCAATTACTTCAGATGAAATTAATTCATCCTAAAAAGGAAAAAAAAGTAAGTACGGTACGGTAACGGCCAAGTAATGTACTAATAAGATCAATTTGAAAATGTAGTTTTAACACAACGCTTGCTGTTAGGCCCCTGAAGCATGTCAGAAGAAAAAACAAACGCCCGCATGAACAGATGATAGGTCAAGTTTCTTTGACTGTTTGGGAAAGATGCGTAGCAATTTCCTCCCCAAAATAGGATATTCAAAAAAAAACCTTTTCCAAACACTGAAATACGCTTATTGACAAGCCGCAGCCTTACCGTAAAGTATACGGTATTCAACAAATTGCTATACATATATTCCACAAAAGCTTATTAGGCTTCTTTAACACGTACCTTTAAATTAAGCTTAGCGACTTTTACGACCTTTGCTTTACTTCCGTATTTATAATGCCTTCCTATCTGCTTTAAATCATGTTTATACCGAAGTATTTCATTATTTTTATCAAGCTTTTCATGAACTTTGGTCTTGCGATATTTCAAGAAATCAATTAAACTTGGTTTGGTGACGTTTTGCCAATAATCTTCAAACATTATAAAGAGGTTAGTGAAGACATACATTTCAGTACTGCACCTATAGAATCATATTTACCAGGCTCTTTCAAGTTTTCTCTAACATCCTTTCTAAGTCTCATCTTTATTAATCTTTTAAAGGAAGAATGGGTGAAGAATATGTATAGGATTTTTACACGTAAACGCGTCAAAACGCGTGTTAAAAATGGTTCACCCCGTGACTTAAGGTAACTCGTCGGTGACACGACGATCATAATTAGCAGAACAAATAATAGGAGAATTTATGATTCTAATTAGATATCAGAAAACTTCAAGTAAGATAAAACGTTCGTAACATTTCTTAAAATCCTAAATCGAGAAGAATACACCCCGAGAAATATATATTTATGGTATATCAATGTAAGAAAATTCAATAAATTATTATTCTTTATAAAAAAACATTTCAAATCCTTTCTAACAATAAAAAAAAAATTCTTATCATAATAATACTACATAATAAAAATAAAAGTATTGAACCAATTTTATTATTTAATCTAACATAAGCATTAAGGAAAATATATTGTAAAATTATTGCTTTATAAATTAAGTAAATTAGTCAAAAAATTTGTTACATAAAAGTAGGGATGTTAACGGTTCGACCAGTTCGGTTTCGGTCCGATTTTTATCGATTTGAGGGTAAAATCGAACTGGATCGGTTTGTAGACCGATTTGAAACTGGAGTCTAGACCGAAATTTAGACCGGAGT